AACATCCTTCTACATATCCTTTGGTTCCTGGTTCTTAGCTGAAAATGTTTTTCTAAGAGGGGACTGATGCTATAAAAAGGAAGGATGAACATCCCAAGGGAGTCCTCTCTCTCCGCCTATCGCATTCACTTTCTCTGAAGAGACAAAGGAAGCAGGAGTTGGCCCCTAGGGGAAGGGTCCCGACATAAAGAATTTGGTCAGTAACACTGCTGAAAGCATGTGGTGAGAAAACGTTCTTTGAATCTAACGTAGTTTGTTAAGTTAGGCATTAATAAGCGTTTTCTCTTTTTTTTTTGGTAACCATTTCTGGCTTGGATGCCTCATTACTTGTACTCATTTAAAATCTCTCTTTGTAGTTAGTCAACTTGTTTTATCTAATCCAGTGTGTTCATGCTGAAGTGTCTGGGTAACTCTATTTGGAGTAACAAGTTGTGTGCATATTATTCCCTTAAAGGAATAATGGACGTAACATATTTGCACTGTCCAGGAGGGGGCTGGGCAGTACAGGTCATACTTTTCTGGGGGAAGATTTGAGACTGGGAATGTATTGGGGTCACCTTGCAGCATAACCACTGCTGCTAAGAGCCAAGGTGTGGCTGGCTGCAGGCCACACACAGACATAGCTGGGCGTGATTTGCGTGTTGGAGGCTGTTTGTGAACAGTCCAGACCGGAGGCTACAGCAGCAAGGTGCTGTAAAGGGCAGCCTAGGTTACAGGGTGAGGGTGACACAGCTACTCATTAGTATGGATTGGCCCCTGGGATGTCACACTGAGTAAAGGAAGTTTTAGTGTTATGGATGTCTGTCCACTAGGAACTGAGCTGAGACACCACTCCCTTCTCCCACAAGCTAATTTCGCAGGTCTGGTCTACACTAGGATTTTACATCTCTCAGTGGTGTGAAAAATCCACACCCCTGAGAGACGTAACTACGCCATCCTAACCCACGGTGTAGACAGAGCTAGGCAGAGGGCTACCGCCTCTTGGGGAGGGGATTACCTACACTGATGGAAGAATCCCCCCCATCAGCATAGGTAGGGTCCACACTGAAGCGCTACAGCACTTTAAGTGTAGACATACTGACAGAGACCACTTAACAGCCATCAGTTAGTAAAATAAATAAAAATTATATACATTTGATACAAATCTAGGGAGTCTTGGCTGACCTAGAGAAGACAGACTCTATACTTAGGGCCTACCAAATTCAGGATCCATTTTGATCAATTTCATGCCTGAGGGTTTTTAAATCGGTCAATTTCACGTTTTCAGATATTTACGTCTGAAATTTCAGAGTGTTGTAACAGTGGGGGTCCCAACCCAACACGTACACGGAGGTGGGTCTGATCTCCCCCCACTCTCCACAGAGCAGCCATGCAGGGGGAAGGACAAGTCCTGTCCCTCCCCAGCCCGGCTGGGACTTGCAGCTAGGAGCCTCCCCTGCCTCCCCGCAAGCTGGGGCACTCTGAGCAGCACAGGGGAGATCAGATTTCATGGGGAAGGGCTTATTTCACAGTCCATGACACTTTTTCACAGCTGTGAAACTGGTAGGGCCTCATCTATACCCCATTTACTAGTCATCTCAGGGACTTGTGCTCAAAGCAGGCAAAAGGACATGACATAACCTACAGTAAGTTGTAGCTGCTGACTCATGGTGTATGTGAGTTTCTAAATAATCTGAAGAGTTGCAGCAGGCCTGTAGATAAATAAGAGATTAAAAAACCTAGTTTCCCATGTTGGCTTCAAGCCACATTATTGCAGCAGGGAAAAGAAAAAAGTGCAGACGCAGAGTCTTAGCAGAACATGGTACTGATTATTCCTCTATCCCTTACAGACTTTAAGAGTTTTACTGTTAGCAGATATATTGCACTTTATATAGAGAGAACATTTATTCAGTGGAAAAACTAAGCTAAATTCAGAGCACCAGAATCGCCAAACACCCTAAGCACTGCATGCTGCTTAAGGAAAGCTTCTCAGGCAGGTGAGTGATGACTAGGATTTGCAAGGTGCCTTAAAATAGAGTGAGACACAAAAAGGGTTTAAAAATCCAAAATAATTAGGAGTGTTTTCATAGGTTCAGTTAAGAAATGTAAATATTTCCCCACAATGCTAGAAACAAAACTGCATTGTACTAACACATGAAATCCAAAAAGTGAACTAACTAACGAGAGGAAGTGAAATGGACCAAATTGGTTTCATTGTCCAGTTTGAATGAAAAACACCATCAATGATTAAACACAGACTATTACAAATAGCAAAATTCAGAAATGTAAACCATGTCTAACAGGGAAGGGTATATTATAAATGATCATCTTGCAAAGACCATTTTAAGATACTAATTCCAAATCCATGTCTGCAGGACATGATTTATGCTTCAGTTAAAAGGGCAATAATTGGAATTTAAACTCCCTTAAAGACAGATATTTATCTAACACCAGTCACTGGTGGTTTTACACAGTTGTGTTCTATTACATTCAGATTATTACTGGGTTTCGATTTCTAATCACACTGGAGTTATGTGAATAATGCTCCACTAATTCGTGGAACATTTACTTATTTATTGCAATTAACAACAAGACTACAGATTAGGAGTTTATTGATTAACTGAATGCAAGGCTTTCCCACGTTATGTGTCTAACAACTTCAAAAAGAGGAGTTATTTTCCAGCACCACTGAACAGTTAAACTGTTTTCAAACAATGTCACAGTACACAATGCTCCATTCAGGAAAATGCAGACTGGTGCTAATCCAGGCTGCTTGCCTTCATCTGTAGGGCTAGTCACTTCCCCATCCACAATTCTGTTCTCAAACTGCTGCAGTAATGGTGCCTCTGGCATATCCTTTGGAAGTCTGGAGAAAACACAGCAGTGGACCTGTCTTGCCTCAGTGAAAGCTCCCTCCATTGTTAATTACAAGTCCTTTATTTGGGGACCGTGTCTTTAGGTGCCAGACACATGCACAGTAAATTACAGGACAACCTATAAGAAGAAGAAAAAAATGCATGTGTAGACCCCTGAATTCTCTAGGTTTCAACTCACCCTAGGAGAACAAGCCACACAAATACAAGGCCCAAGACACCAATGAGTTAGTCCAATAGTACAATCACCGAACATCCAGTACCATTAACACAAATGGCCCCAACCTGCCACATTCGCCCCTGACACAAACCAAAATGATCACTCGGGTTCACACATCAGCTACAGCAGGCAAAGTGCACAGGCAGAAAGCTTGAGTGCAAATCATATTCTGAATCCATCCTCCAGCAGCACAGACAACTCTTACAGGATTAAGCCACTGCAGTCACGGATGCAAAATGAGCCTTCTACCCCTCCACTACCAAGGCCAGCACGGCTATTTTGCATAGTGAACTGGTTAATTAATCCAGACAGCATAGCCCAAATATCTGACACAAGCACCAAGCATGGGGAAGAGCAGTCAGCATATTTTGCTGACAAGATAAATTGAAAATGTATGGAACACACTGGAACAAACGAAACTGCACTCAAACCAGACTCTATTACCCACCCTGACACAGTTTGGCCCCATCACACAGAACAAACTTAAGAAGCCCTAACAAATGTTAGAGCCACAACCTGTGAAATGGATCCATGCTCTTATAAAAGCCAGCGAAGAACAACTATGCCCGCTCTCAATGGAAATAATCAATGTCTCCTTCATACAAGCACACCTACAAAACTCTTTGAAAAAGAGTTTGCCCAGTGCTCAAGAAGCCATCACTGGACCTGAAGATCTCCCCAACAACCATCTGGTCTCCAGCCTCCCCTTTCTAGACAAAATAACTGAAGGAGCAGTAACCACCAAGCTCCAATAACCACACATGACATGGGTCAACATCCTGGATGTCTCACAATCAGGGCTCAACACAGAGACAGTTCCATTGGCACTAATGACATTATGGCCATGGACACAAGACTTCCATGTTCACACTGCTGGACCTTTTTGCTGCCTTTGACACAGAGGACCACTTACTAACCCAGCTACATGATGTAGCAGGAGTAGGTGGCCCAAGACTACAGTGATTCCATTCATTCCTCTCCAGTAGACTGAATGGCAAAAGGTAATTGCCCCCGCCCTGCTCCAAAGGCACTCATCTGCAGAGTCCCACAGGGATCCATACTATTCCCTGTTGTTTTCAATATCTACACAAGCCCACTGGGATTTAGTCAGACCCCCTGGGCTCAGCAGACAACGGGGTGCCCATTGCACTCAACTACATCTCTCATTCTCAAGTGGTGGAACCACTGCCACTAACAAGACATCAGAATGTCTTGTGGGGGGAACAACGGCAGAAATCAGCTCCTGGATGAAGTGCAGCTGGCTCAAGCTGAATCGAGGCAAGATGGATACGACACCTAGTCAGAAAGGGGAAATGCACTGAAGAACTAGCAGAGACAGTGTCTCCACCTGCCACTGAAGGCAGACAGCTCTCATTTGTCAGACAGGCACAAAGCCTCAGGCCTTCCTTGACTCCTCAATATGCTGGGCTGACCAGGTAGCACCAGTATCTAAAAAGTGCCTTCTTTTACCTGCAGCTTGTTAAGAAACTTCTCCCCTTCCTCCTGGATGAGAACCTGCCCACAGCAACCCATGCATGTGTCACCTCCAGGCTGGACTGCTGGAATTCAGTCTCTGAAACTGAACATGAAGACAATGTACAGGTCTGGTACAGGATGTGACGTGGAAGAAGCCCCATCATTTGGGAGATTCAAAAACAGAACGGTGCAAAGCACTGGAGGTTTGCTGTACGCAATAACCCCGTATTGCATGTATTTGGTAAGGTGCAGAGGGAGATGGTGCTTGCAGATGGAAGAGACTATTTGTGAACATTTGATTACACGAATAGGGTTCTCAGATCGTGATAGGGAACATTCCCTCAGAGCATAGCCTACATGCCATGCTACTCAATTTGATTAGGCCGAGACATCTTTGTGCTGCATGATTTGTGGCGCTGCTAAAGGAGGAGAAAGCCAGACCAGAAACTTACCCACAATATCAACCACGTCAGGCCGGATGAGTGGTTCTCCACCAGTCAATCGGATCTTGTCCACACCTTCCTTCACAAAGAGCCTGGCAATGGTGATTATCTCCTGGGTAGTGAGCAGCTCTGATTTAGGGGTCAGTTGAACTCCCTCTTCTGGCATACAGTACTGACCTGAATGAGCAATCAAGAAATACATGGGCAAATGGAAGGATCAGCCACTGGCAAGGAACCAACACTGTACTTGGATGCACTTTGCATAGCAACTGCCTGTAATTGCCAACTGTTCTGCCTTGCAGAAATACAGCTAGCAAGAACAGAGTCAAACTAGCAACCCACGGACAAGGCTGCTGGCCTAACTCCTAAAATAACTTTGACAGGTCTGTAAATAAAGTTTGCCACTTAAGTCTGGAGGGAGGCCAACCCATGGCAAAAGTATGGGTGTTGCCAAAACTGTATTTTTCACACAAGGAGTTTTGGTTGAAATTTTTTCCCCCAGCTCTAGTTCCTACAGGTGGGCTACCATATCCTGTGGAATGCATGAACCTCACTGTGACATGGAGGGGGAAGGAAGAAGACAGGCTTACATCTGAGGTTGCATTTCTCAGTCAGGGAGATCCGTAGGTAGTTGTGCTGACGGCCAAATCTGTCAGTCAGGAAAGCAGAGAAAGGGGCAGCATGTTCAGTTAGGAAACCTTTTCTTCTTGTGCTTGGCAATTCCTGAGGAGAAAAAGCAACAAAACAAGGGGTAGCTGTTTTCAACTTCAAAGCACTGTACAAATGTTGAACTGAGTCTAAACTTCACAGGGAAATCATCATCCACATCTTATGGAAGGGGAAAACAGAGGCACACAGAAGCCAAGTGATTTTGACCAAGACCAAAAAGTGAGTCTCAGTGGAACAGCTAAGGAGTTCCAGGGGTTTCCCGACTCTCATCCCCTGCTTAATTCCATTGCATCATGCTGCATATTTAAGATAAAGGGGAAGGAACCATATTAAAGTTAGCCACTTTGTGCAGCAGTTGCTGTAGGCCTTCTCTGCAATGCATTTTGCAAGGACAGTTTGATTCTTGAAATCTATAAAGACAGAGGGAAAGATATACACCCAAAATAGTCAGCCGGACGCCCTCATTGTGGTCCTCAAATTGATCAACCTGGGCATGAGCCTTCCAGGCATTTTGCTGCCTAGCAGAAGAACTAAAAGTTACAACTGAAAGTACACCACTAGCCTTCTGCCTGTGACAGTTCAAGTATGAGACAAAAGGCCCTGTCCAACGTAAGAACAAATTGGGCCACTTTGAACGGTTTTTTAAATCTGTGGGCAACAGCCATATTTAGTATGGTTTTCCAGCTTGAATTGTGTTCGAAACCTTGTGCTATGGACATGGCTCGGCTAACATGATTCCCAGGTGAAAGGCTCTGTGTAACTAGTCAGGGAGGGCAGTGCTAAAACCCCTAATAGTAATACGACAGCGTTTTAAACAAGGTTGTAACTAACACAGTGCTGTTCCCCTCTCCTTTGGTGTGCCTAAAAGTGCTAGAAGCACAACACATTTGGGACTAGTTACTCCAGGTTGCAACACTATCTGAAATCCCTGCGTCATGCTCCTGCATGCATAGAGCCCTGCGTGGATACAAAATTTGTATCTGCATCTTATCCGCAAAAATGGTCCGGGGATATCTGCAGATTTGCGGGGCTTTATGCATGTGTAATTAAAGGAAGTAAACCACCAGCAAGGGAAGGGGGTCAGAGAACTGTACAACAGGGGTCAAATGTGGGGAGAGCTAATAAGAGACTCCCAGGCCTGGGTGGGATGGGCAAATCTAAGTTTCAAACCAGTGCTGCTCAAGACACAAACCGTATCGAGCAGCAGCTAACAAAGGTGGAAAGGGGGAAAAAAAAAAAGAAACACCCCCCAAGAAGGATGCCAACCCTCTAGGATTGCCTGAAGCCTCCAGGAATGAAAGATTAATCTTTAATTAAAGATTATATCATGGGATGAAACCTCCAGGAATACATCCAACCAAAACTAGCAACCCTACGCAATGTTTAGTGCACTAGAGTCAAAGTTTAGCAGTAGCCCCTGGGCCACCGCTTTGCTTACTGGGCCATTAAGAGAAGCTGATGCTTGATTAAAAACATCTTAGTTATAAATAATTCTGCATCTCATCCCTTTCACAGAGGGGTGCTGGTAGGAAATCATGCTGTCAGCTGCTTCCAAGGGTCAGCAGCTGCTGCTGCTGGCTCTTTACTCAGTGTCATAACCCCCTACTTACGAAGCACTGACCATCCTCACAGCATGGGACAAGGACTCCACTCTAGAGATCAACTACAGACCAGTGGTCCAGCAAAACGTCCCTAAGAATGGGGGTATTAGAGAGTTGAAGCAAAGTTTGTCTTTTACCTATTTCCAAGTAAGGAAATTGCAACCACTGATCCTCAGAGTGGGTTGCCCTTATCTCTTAGCTACTTGGGGAACAAACCCAGACTTGTTTGTGGATGGGGATTAAGACTACAAAAGCGCTCCAGAAATAGTTATTTTAAAAGCAGAGAGAGTGCCAACATCTAAAAAAATACATTAAAGTGATAGAACAGTTCATTCCCAGAGTAAACTAATTAAGAAAGAGCTATTTGCCAAACTTTGTTTCTGCTGATGCCTCCAGGTTCAACATACGTTGTGTGAAGACTAGAATGCTTTCTCTAAGAGGCTCAAACTACACCTGTATGCCTCAGAAATACAGGCATGCTTACAGTCATCTAGATTATATGGCTGGATTCTAAGCTATTATACCAGCACAGATCTGGACATCACTGAAATCAATGGAGTTACACTGGTGCATATGTGGAGTAAGTAAGAGCAGGTTGAGTTGCACAGGCTTCAGAAGTCTGAAGGATTCCCTCTCCACTTCACAATAACGCAATATCCTCATTAATTTTATTTCTAAAACTTTCTGTTCTTGAATAAACCTATTAATAGCGCCTATCAAGCTTGTGCCTGGTTTTCTCCCCACTCCATATCCCCACTATGTCAACTTTAAACACACCTTTGAGTTGGAGTAAGACTATATAAATGACCTCCCCACCCATATTCCCTGTGGCCACTCTCCATTTCCCTCTCCTCCACCTCCTATCCCATGGTCTATCAGATCATTCAAGCCTCTAGCTAAAGAAATAGCTACTGTGAAAAAATCTGAGAGTGAAACCACAATTTGACACAGAAACTGAGATCCATGGTCTGCTATTAACATGGAGAGCTGAGCCTGAGGTTTGAGACTCTGAAGTAAGACAGGGTGACAGCAGCCAGTTCGCTCCCTGCCTTTGGGCTAATCCCTAACCACTTCCCATGTGAGACTACTCCTAAGAAGCATGCTTCAGTATATTAGCAAGTCTGGATAGACAACTGCCTCAGAAAGCTTTTCACTTTTAAGGTTTGAACAAGCACGCTCAGATGGACCCCAAAGCTGAAGTCTTGGATGCACTCTTGAGACCACAAGATGTACATTTTTCAAGTATCAGAGTAGCAAGTTTTTCAAGTAGGTCTTCAATCTCACTCTACTGAAAGCTTTGCCTACTGGTTATATCTCTCTACTCCCAGCTCTGCCACTAACCTGTGGGGTGCTGGGCAAGTTATTTAACCCCACATTACTTCCACTTCCCCACCTGTAAAACAGGGAGCATACTAGTTAACCACTTTTATAAGTGTTTTCAGAGGCTCAAATTAGAGGAGCTATAGAAGTGGTTTTTGTTTGTTTTTAAAATACCTATATGCTCTTATCTGGTGGTGGATGCTCACATTTCTCCATTTATATTAATCACAATTATATTAAGATTTTATGGAGACCAACTGAATAATTATAATAGACACTGAGCAGTCACTACATGAAGGGAACAAAATAAGGTTAGCATAATGGGAGGAGGGGTGTGAGATGCAGTGGAAATGGTTCTTAAAAATGCAATGCATTTTGTTTCCATTAATGCTCTTCAGACACAGCATCATAAAATTATTTAAGGAGACAGATTTTGTGTTAGCAAGTTAAAGAAAAAAGGAATATTTAAAATCCTGTGACTACAGTGGCCAGTTCCAGACATTCTAGCTATCCTTGTTAGGTTATAACGGATAAGGGGTTAAAGGTTAAGGATCTGACTATAAACCTCAAACGTTAAATGAGTGACTGGACTCTAGGGCTGCATTATGTGGAGGATATGGAGAGGATGAGAGAACAAGCCACGTCACAGATGTTAGTCACATCACTCAGGTCATGTCTACACTACCCACCAGATCGGCGGGTAGTGATCAATCTATCTGGGATCGATTTATCACGTCTAGTGTAGATGCAATAAATCGATCCCCGATCGCTCTGCCGTCGACTCCGGAACTCCACCAGCGTGAGAGTCGGAAGCGGAGTTGACAGGGGAGCAGCGGCTGTTGATCCTGCACCGCGAGGACACAAAGTAAGTGATTCTAAGTCGATCTAAGATATGCAACTTCAGCTATGAGAATAGCATTTATGCTATGAGAATAGCATAGCTGAAGTTGCGTATCTTAGATCGATTCCCCCCCCCCCCAAGCGTAGACCAGGCCTTTGTGCGCTACTGGAAGGAGCTCAGATACTGTGTTGATGAGCATGGTATAAAAACCTATTCAGAAGAGCTACTCAAAGTTGCTGCTGAAAAAGCTCCAGAACTGCTCTGCCCGCACAGGTTGGATGCCGGGAGGTCAAGTGTAGAGGTGTACTGGTGAAGCAAGGATGCACAGCCCTGCCCACATTATGCCTGGCTCTAGCCAGCAGCGTTAGTCACTCCATAGTTTAAACAAGGGAGCCCTAGCACTATGCTTAGAGATATTTACAATATTTTCCATACTCTAGATACAGCTAAGCCTATTCCCCCTCAGAAGTTTTTTTGGAGAAGATTTTCTGCGTGCTACTCCTTTGGGTGGGAGACAGGTAGAAGATACACTCTCTGAACAGATCAGCCAGGCAGTGTAGGGCATGTGGGGTGGAGCAAGGTGCAGCCAGACAGACAGCAGAACAGTGGGAGGTGCAGAGAGGTGACATCTAATAGCTGAAGCTATTTTGACTCATTCACAGCTGTTCTAACACTGCAAACCTTTTTAAAAAAGCAGAAACAATCCTTTTGTAGGAACATAATCTTCCCAGAGACCACTGTTCAATTTACTTCCGCTCTCCAACTGCGGAGATCTTGTAATTAAATGGCAAGAGTCCAGAGGACTTTCAATAGCAGCTTGGCCAGTGGACTGGTAAGGTCTGAAAATAGGCACGAAGCACAAGTGTCTGCTTACGTAAAGTGGCCCATTAGCCCTGTTTGGGTACATCTACTTTGCAATTTAAAAAACCCCCACCACACTGAGTCTCAGATCCGGGGTCAGTTGAGTCAGGCTCCCAGGGCTCAGGATGCAGGGCTAAAATTTGCAGTGTTGACATCTGGGCTCAGGCTGGAGCCCAGGCTCGGAAACTTGGTGAGGGGTGTGGGTCTCCGAACCCAGGCTCCAACCCCAGCTTCTACACAGCAATTTTTAGCCTTGCAGCCTGTGCCCAACTGACCTAGGCCAGCTGCAACTGTGTCACGGGTCTTTTATTGCAGTGTGGACATACCCTTAGTTACCAGTACTTCTACTGTCGGTCGTCCATTTTCAGCAGGCAGAAGGAAATCTATGCCTGCTTCTGTCTGAAGTTTGCTTACTACACTAAAAAGGATGC